GCTGTTTAGTTTGCTCGGAGGTGGTTATGTCGAGTTTGGCACAGGGTTGCACGTTCATTATGGTTTTCATGGCTATTGCCAACACGAAATGAGAATTTCAGATGTACATAACGCGCAAAATTTAAAATTTTTGTATATGACAACACCGAATTTGCTGCAGTTTGACCAAACAAAATTAGTTTGCTGTGAGAGTCGCCAAACTCGCTCTCTCCGAGTTAGCTGCAACAACAATTGCACGCAGTTTGCCAAACAAAATTTCTGCATAATACCGACCTACAACATATACAAAGTGGTGTGTCTTCTTCTTCCGGTTTTTGCAAGTAATGGCTAATTTCCTGTTCGTTTACTTTTTTGCTTTTTCATCTCTTTGGGAGAGAATTTTCGCGTACTCTCTTGATTTTGATTGTTGGCTGGTGTTGGCTAATTTTGTTATCGAANGCTAATTTTGTTATCGAACGCAACTTATGTCCCCCAATTTTTTTAAATTTTAGAGGTTTGCCGGTTTGAGGGTTAAACTAATTAGCCCATTCTCAAGCAAATGTTTTTTTTTTTGAAGCGAATGGGTTAAACTAAACAATTGACGTGTTGAGCGCAGCTTCTTTTCAATTTATTTTGGGCATCTTGATTTTGTCACACAAATGGAGGGATATGCAGTTTTACACGGCCTCCGAACGCAGATGATTTTTCGGAGAAGCTTTTTCATTGCTGAAATACACTTGAAGGTTTGCCATTGATTTAGGTATCAAACGATACCAATAAAGTATCGATACTTTTACTCGCTTCAAGTATCGCCAGAACATATCGGATGGGGAGCAAATCTGCATACTCAAAAAAATTCTAAAAAATCTGATTAAAAAGTTGAAAATTTGCTGAATTTCCGCGAGTTTTGTACAAAGTTTAGGAATTATATTTTTATGGTTTTTGTTATAGAATGAACCATATTTTTATACAAAATTAAAAAAAAAAATTAAAAATATTAGAATAAAAATTGTTGCATATATTGTGAAAAATTTGCTGTGCCAATCAATACTTTGTTCCGGCAGTGTAAATGCGTGTCAAAAAACACTGAAAAGAGCCAAAATACATACATATGTGAGAGTCGTAAAATAGACACAATTTTATGATTCGCTTGGCGAAGGACTGGCATTCTATTATAACTACATCTACAAATAAGAAGTAATAACAAAAATGGCATACAAACTAGGGTGTTCGATTACTCTCCTTTTTTCCAAAACCGGTTTTTGAGTAATTCGAAAAATTGCAATTTGGAAAAAACCGGTTCCTGATTTTGAAATTAAGTTAAACCCGGATAAACCGTTTTTATTTCCATAGTTTTCACACAGTGAAAATGCTTATGCTGATAAGAAGGCATGGCCAAAAATTACAATAAAGCTATTACCAGTAAAGATAGCTTTTATTTAGAAAATAGCAAAGCAGAACAGTTTAAATTTTTTTTTTTACATCAAAAGTAAAACAAACAAAAATCAGTGAAAATTACATGTTTGGTCTTATTTTAACTTTATTTTAATACTTTATTGCATTTTTTCTTACTTTTGTTCGCTTTTGAGTAGTGTTCTTGTCGCCGTAGCCGAGTTCTTATAGGTGATAACTGCTACTCGGGGGGTCCATGATTCAATTTCTACACATCGAAATAGCGTGCGCCCCTCTGCGAGACAATGGCAAACCTCCGAGTGTACTTCTGCTTTAGGTCTCTCCATTTGTGTTACAACATCAAGAAGCACTGGTGGAAACCGGTTTAGAAAAACCGAGCCAATCACCCTAATAAAAACATTACATAATGTTTAAACATTCTAACTTTTACGATCATCTAATATGCGAAAATTATGTACGTACTATCTTTAATTTATTTTTCTTCTTTTTCATTTTCAGATTTTGCTGTCACCACCCAATCAAAAATAGTCTTTTACGATGAACATTGGAAGGAAGTTATGTCATCGGCTCATCAATTTGAACATATCGGTGCAATCACATTCGATGAAGCCGAAGAGAAGATATATTTCAGCGATGAGTTACACCACAATGGCAGCATTTTCTCACTCATGATACCCAAAGACTACGAAGATCCGCATTTAATTGAGAAAATGGTACAGCGCACAAAGAATGAAGCAGTTCGTTCGCTTGCATACGATCCACTCGATCGTAAACTCTACTGGAGCGATTTATTGAATAAGAAAATCCTAATGGTATCTGTTGATGCTAATGAAACTACCACACCAAATGTGTTTATCGATTTCACTAAGGAAGTAACACTGCCCGATGGCATTGCTATAGACTTTTGCCGTCGTCAACTCTATTGGACCAACTCAAATTTTTCGAATGCCAGTATCGAGCGCATCGGTTTAGATGGCAGCGATCGTACAGTTATCGTGCGTGGTGATATGTTTGCACCACATGGTATTGTCGTGGATCAATTGACGGATCGTATTTATTATGTAGTCGCTCAGCGGGGCGTACATTTTTCGGTGGAGAGTGCAAATTTGGATGGTACTGATCGGACAGTTATAATGAAGGGACTCAATAATGAGCCATTCAGTTTGGCTGTAACCAAAGATGCAATCTTTTGGACTGATAACACAAACCGTGCCATCTGGGGTCATTCAAAATTCGTCAATGATCCCGAAACGATAACACCAGCGAAAGAAGAAGTAGAAGATGGTGGCAATGTAGCAATGGAAGAAAAAACCGGCGCACGTATGATACTGCAGTTTGGAGTTAAACCACGTGGTATAGTGGCGCGTGTTCATTACCTTACCCACTCCGTTAATGATCAGCACTGTCACCAAGTGGTTGCCAGCATTAAAAGCCTTCGGCTCCGCCCGAACTTAGACTTTCTTACTTGTTATATATATATAGATATACATAGAAGATGTCCAATGTGTGCTTTCGATTTTAATCTTTGACAACAACAAAAATTCCACATTGTATATTCGTGAATGAACTTTCAGTTTCTCGATTACTTTTACAATTCCTTTGAGTAATTGAAAAAACTTAAGCACTCTTGCAATTCCAGGTAATGGAATTGAAAAAAATCAATTACATTTTCAATTCCTTTCAAAGGAATTGGAAAAAAAATTACATTACTAGCACGTAATTTATTCCAATTACAATATGAAATTCCTTGTAATGGAATTAAAGAAAAACCCAATTACATTTGAAATTACTTCAAGGAATTGAAAAAGTAATCGGTTACTTTGCTGTGGACTGAAGGAATTAATTCCTAATTACAATTCCTTGTAATCTGTAATTGGGAGTAATTTAATTCCTAAAGGAATCATTACGACCCAGCTCTGGGCACAAAGCTCTAGCTCGTAATTTGGATCATGCATGACTCTTATATGAGGCATAAATTTTTGGTTTTTGAAACTCATATTTCTCCCATACTTATTTACGTAGGACTCATTTCGAATTCATAAATATATTGTGAACACCAAGAATATGTTTGCCGGGACTTATATAGTTGGTGTATCATACTTACATATCAGCGCAACCCAACGGTACATTAGTATTAGTATCGGGCTCCAGCTTCAAAATTTTGCAATAAAGCGCACAGATTTCTGTTGAATTTTGTTCACAACGCGCACCGCTAAAATTGTCTTTACATGAGCAGCTCGGCTCGCCGGAGTCTTCAATCACACACCATCCATTATTCAAGCAATGCCCGGCGCACTTGTACCACTGACACCGTCCGCCATGGTAGCCGCGCGGACATTCGCAAGTTGGTAAGCCAAGGGAAGAAATAACGCAGCTGCCATGCATACAATAGTTAAAACACTCGTTGTCCTGACATCGTTCACCCTTGAAACCGACCTTGCAGATGCATCTATTGGTTTGCGCAACGAATTCGCCACCATTGAGACAATAATTTTGCCTTAGGAAATTCGTATTAACATCCAGCGCACTATCGGTTGGTTTTACGAATGACAGCAAAC